AGCTCTAGTAATCATCTAGGTGAGGTATTTTGTGTTTGAGAATTGCTGCTCTTTTGTAAAATCCTCCAGACCAACGGCAACATCCGGGTAGGCATCTTGGAGAGCACATTGCTGGACAGCCTTGTCTGCATATATTTCTCTGTACTAGCTGTGCTTGGTAGTTAACTGGTGAAAATGTTGGCATCTGGAGTTGGACAGGGAAAGGCTGTTGAAAGGTGCTGCAGCATTCAATGTTACAACGAGGAGCGCATTTCGAAGAACATCCTTGATTGCACTGCCCTTGTGCTACAAATAACAAGACAATAACAACATAAAATCATCATATTAACATTTATTTAGTACTAAGTTATAAAAATAACATCTTTAACTGCACCCTTGAACTTTACAAAACTGCTCTTTTAAAATTAAACTGTTTTCAAGATCGCTCGCCTTGAACCAAACTTGGGTTCTTGTTATATTTAATATTGCCTTATCTCTTTCTAATATGATTTTCAGTTCAGACCACGGCCCATGCAGATTAACTGCTGTCCTTTTTGGTAAGAAAGGAACTGAAAAACTTGGGAAAATATTAATTATTTAGGGGTCGAGTAACAAACCAACATCATTGTGTTTAATCTTGCACTAACCTCTTAAAGACGACTGCAGACCAGTCTGGGGAAAACGAAGTGCATAATTCATAAGGAATTGATTTTGAAACGCTTGAGATTTAATAGCCGATCGACAACATCTGGCTGTGCATCGAGGAGCACACTTCGAAGGACAGCCATATTTACACCCAGGCTTTGCCAAGGTCGGGAGTCTATTTTGATTTGAATAACCTATAGGGAACTGAACCKCAGAAGCAYGACCTCCAAAAMTTCTACAACATCCTACTCTACACTTTGGTGCACACTGAGCAGAGCATGTACTRCCACAAGGTAAYGMTTGTTGKTGATATTGTCCCATTGGCGTTGGGAAACCTAGAGCAGAGGGTCCTTGATATCTCATTAYCAATGCTGGATCTACTAAGGGCTGYCATGGTGAAGCYCAAGGCATAATGGGTGTARTGCAAGGTTCATTTGAAGGGCTGTAACAAGGGATGGGAAACTTTGTAGGCGAAGGAGGTCTTTTTGCAGTACTGGTACCAAATCCAGATGGTTTAGGGGATGACATACCACGTGTTGTGGGCCATGTACCTGATGTTGTTGGATATGGCGTTGTAGATGGGGAAGGTGYCGGTGTCGGTGATGGAGTTGGTGATGGTGATGGTGTTTGAGAAGGGGTGGGTGTTGTTGTCCGTGGTGTTGTTGATCGATGTTCAGTTGGTTTCGCTGTCGGAGAAGGTAGATCTGTATAGAAAACATGTCGTGTCTGTTATTGATTGTTTACAGGYTGGGATTATATAGGATTATATAGCTCGAAAAGYGCAACCAGATAACTCCTTTTCTGGAGTAGATTTAACTCTACCAATTTTAACTGCAACTTAGGMAGCAGTTTTGAATCCCTTTTGGAGTAATTTTGAWTTTTTTCCGAGTTGACATAAACGTCTGGAGTAAAAACTACCCGCATTGTGAAATAGATTTAAATATATTTAAAGTTACTCTACCAGGTACAGTAACTTTAACTCCATCGGTAGAATCATTTCCGCTCCTTGAAAATAACAGGGAAGAAATAAGAAGCTTTGCTATGTGTTGCACATGAATATATCTTAGCGTTTTGATGATGTTATGTAAAATTGACATGAAATATATTTGCATTTTCATGCTCTTCCTCGTTATAATTTTGAGCCTCGTACCTCTTTGCACCCGGTACACAAAGTTTGTGTTATCTTCCCCAATGCAGTCCATGCCATCCCGACACCGTTCATACTTCCAGTTGATACAATCACGTCCTGGACCGTCATTACTATAGCTTTTATCTCTTGATCCTGACCAGCATTCACCTGCATGCATGGGCAATGAAAGTATTAATTCGATGATTTGGCTGGCTTTAACTTAACCTTAACTTTAACTTTGGCATACATTTATGTATGTTTTTGCTTTAATATAATAAGGAAGATTGTGCAATTGTCCAAATTTTTGGAATCCAGAATCCAGCAAAAAGTTTGAAATCCTAAAAACATACACATTCTTTGGAATATCAGAACCAAGGCTTGGAATCCGCAATGTAATGTTTCAGAATCCGGAATCCAACGCTTGAAATCCAGAATCCTCTAGTGCTCTGGACTCTCTTACATGGGGCGAAACAGAGTAATCCACCGGTGATTTTGTTTAATATAACTTTTTCAATAAGCATACCATAATTTTGCAGTCCCATGACGCTGTATCCATGCTTCAAAACTTTTTCAGCACACTTGCAAATGATGGTTTCCATGAATGTACCYTACTTTGTCCATACAATTTCCCCAGCATACTGCTTACTACTTTTATCTCTATATGTCAAGACAAGAAGTGGAAGAGGACGATTCCCTGACTTCTGATTGTCTGCATAGCAGCCAAGCCTATCTAGCTTTATCCCGCTACACTCTATTAAAGAGAGAAAGAAATAAATAAATCAACACAAATCATTGAGGTTTGGATAGAGAATGATCCCCTTCCAAGTACCATTGTTTCAAATTAAATTCCGTGCAAGTTTTGATTACTTTTGCACTGACTAGTGATTGTTCAATGTGAGATCAAAATTTTTGCAATTTAAGCACAATGCGCATGCTCATTAGACAATTAGACTTTTAATAGGGATTTTTATTGTTTTATATATGAGGAAAGACTACTCTTTTGGGGTGTTGGAGCCATAGACGTTCTTTAAAGAGCCCGCGTGCTCGATGCATCCCAATACATCGTGCACTGTAGATCTACATAAACAACAATTAGCTTACTTATCTGTTTCGATTTCACTTGAGAAGCTGAAAAAGGAAGGATATGAAATGCAAATTAGGTAGGAGTGAAGTTATGTCACAATTGCCGTATTGAATGAAAACGATAAACCCTCTTATATGTTCGTCATGCTTTTTCATGATGGCGATACTACGTTACTCTTGTGAAAATTAGTCTTTCTTATAGTTTATATAAATATGTTTAAACAAACAGGTGGAAGGACCTTTTAATTAAGAACATTCAAAAAGAACATCAATAATATTTTACATAAAGACAAAATGTTTGTTCAAGTTTGAAGAGGAACAGTTCTCTTCTGCCGTTTCTCAGAGCTGGCAACATCTCATATTCCACAGAGACATCAAMATTTTGCTATGAAATTTCAGTCTACAATGTTCATCTTTTCAGAAATCATTCCGGTTTTGTAACTTATGTTGTTATTTTTTTAAATTCTGACATTGACAGAGAATTAACGATTAATTAAATAAACTTTCTATTAATTTTTGCACACTGGAATTTTCCTGTAAATTACCAAATACAAGCACGAATGTTAACAGGATAYMACACCAGCTTCCGGCGCTTMTCATCTTCACTTCACCTGTCGTATTTACAAAACAAAATCATAAACAGTTGTYGAAAATAGGTAAAATWATTATTTTTATCTTAAAACGACTTWAGGATAACTTTCAAAGGCAAAGAATGGTAAAGAATGTTTGAGCAACATATATATATATATGATCTTACTCACAACCCAACAACCCATTTAAGAAAATTCAAACACCTGAGCTTTTTTTTAGAGATGGAAGCTTATGGTAACTTTATAAATCCAGACACGGTACTTTATAAAGGTGTAGGCTGAGAATACCATTACTATTATGCACGAAAATTGTATATTATTTGTAAAAATAAAAAAAAGATGGGGATTTTTGAGTCAGTGACTGAAATGAATACTAAATCTAACCTTTCTGTTATGTCTGTGAAATGAATTTTCTTAAATTCTATAGATCACTAACATCCCTTCCGACATCATCAATTCTTGTAATTAGTTGAACGTATCTTCATTTAATTTCAATGAAGGAAGATTCTGGTTTCTTTAGCTTGCAGAATTTTTTTTTATGAGCGATTTTGTTTTACATATAAACAATTCCTATTTGGTCAAAGATAAGCAGACATATATCGATAATAGCAATGGCTGAGCATTTCACCTTTGCCAGGTTCCCTTAAATTAAAATTTAAGATGTATCCTCTTGCCCATTCTCGACAGAAAAAGTCCCTAATGTCCGTCCTTTGCTATCGTTATATTGACAATGAGCAGCCATGATTCAAAATACAGTATTTGGTAATCATTAAACATTTTCTGGCTTTGTTTCTTACCTTTGAAGATCGGAATATTTTCTAGCACAAAKGAAATCGATATCAAAATTCCTTTTTCGCGTCCGATATCATTGAAAAGGGATTGAAGAACCAAGTTCTTCTTTGCAGTGGAGGATATTTTTATTTCAAAGAGCCTGTTTTTATTAAATATCATAATAATTAAATATTGATTAATTGCAAATCGTTTCCAAGACAACGAAACTCAGGAAGGGTAGTTCTAGTCCCCTTATCCAGCCCTCCTGGAATCATACATCTTGTATAGATAAACTTTAAAAAAAATTGTTATTAAATAATAAAAACAACAGAGCAGTTAAAATGTCGGGCATTTTGCTGTGATAGTTGCCATTGAAAACTGGATGCTCCTAAAACATCTTAGTCGCAGTTTTCGGAAAAACAACTTCTGCGGGAAAATAACTACCACAACACAATGCATAATTCAACTACTGTATTGTTTAAATGGAGTTTGTACAACTCAATAATACTTCATAATTTTGTTGCAAACGTTTAGTTTCTATGCTACAGCGCAACAATATCCTTGCATCTTCAATCTTAATTTATAACTAATCAAAAATCCTGTTATGAAGAGAAAGTATTATCTTTATTTCCAGCATATACAAGTTCATTCTATTATTTACAAAGTAATTGACAGTCTCTACAAAGACGGTCGAGGATATGGATGTGTCTCTTTAAGGCTCGGGCAATTTCCAATAACTTGCATATCTCTAAACATTACAACAGTGTTATCGTTTTCATTTGCAGTGCAAGTACGAGTTAAGTACTACTGACATTTGCAATTACCTCAAAAAAGCTACACCGTAACTGGTTACAACTTTTGTTCAATAGAGCAAGTTATTGCCATGTGCACAGATTTCTGCATGTAATCCTCCAAAATATTGAAGTCTTGTCAGTTTTTACTGCATCATAATCTGCTACTTTGCCATCGTGTATTCAGAAATGTATTTAAAATATCTTACATTTTTTATCTTGTCATACTCCACTGTCATTTCAAAMAATTTTCTTAMGAAAKGTTMTCATTCGTTTAGCAGCCATATATGGMAATCTTACCTTATTTGGAATTAAGTGTGGACACATTTTGGATTWTCTCGAGTTTTAAAGCTATCAATAGTCTGAAARTCTTAAAATGTTTGTTTGTTTCCAKATATGGGTTAGAATTGCTAAAGAAAGCCCAAAAACAATTAATAGTGCAGGGATCCCACATGAATGACCACTTTATTCTTTGATATACGGTCCTGTCGCCTCTACCTATCTTCGTACCATGGACAAACAGCAATGTCTTGGGCAAGTTATGGCACATCTAGCTTTACAGTCGGACGGACATGTCGGTAAATATACATTAGGATCTGTTGCTTGGGTATGTAGTGCTGGTGCATTGGAGCTCTGCACTTGTGRTTGAAATGCTTGAGTATTGGGATATATATAGGATGTTCGCATTGGCTGCTGGTAATATGACTGTACAGTTCGCCATTGCTCTAAAAACGAAGCCATAGAAAAAAAAAAAATATCTTTTATTCTAAAATTGATGAGATATAACGTTGTTTATTCTATAAAATAACAGAGATCACGTGTTTTGCTCGCTTCGCTCACGTTTGAGGGCCTGCTTCTCTTGTGCTCTCACAATGTTTATGTCAGAGAATAGAAACGCTCACGGACATCTTCTAATTTGAAGAAATCATGGGATGTCAATGGCGAAAAGTCACTTATTGTTAAATAGAATGATGTCGAAAGCAACTTTCTCTGAAAATCTCCATGCTACAAAATTCAAAGATTATTTAAGAAATATAAAACGGCGCGCGTCTCTGTCCTCTGATATAAACACGGTGTGAGTGAAAAACACGAGAGCAGCAAGCTTAGAAACACAAGCGTAGCGAGGACAGAGACACAAGTGGACGTTTTATAGTTCTTTTATAATTTTTTTCTGCGTTTTTCTGCGAAAAACAACTTTTGCCGGTAAGCCGCGTCTCTGTCCTCTGATATAAACGCGGTCGTCAGGCAATCAGAGCGCGCGCAATATATCTAAAAATGTTAGAATGCTTCACAACATCCAAAAGGTGCATGTTGTTGAATTATTTTATGCTTTACGTTATAATATTCAATCCCATAGCATTCTAAAAGTCAAATAGTCTATTAATTTCTAGGTTTTTGCCCCCGGAACTTCCAATAGTTTCTTTCTGAATCGWTACCTAAWACAATATACTAACAAGATGGCGGCCGTATTCATGGTAAAAACATCTATTTGCAATAATTTGATCACCTGGATATCMGTACATTGGTACTTGATATGGCTGCTGCTGTTGTTGCTGCTGCTGGTAGTATGAGTATGAATAAGGGTTGTAGCTCATTGGTTGGTATGATTGTGATACAGTTGGGATTGGAGTTCCTGAGCAACAGCTTGAGAGACACAATGGAGCGCATGCTGAAGGACAAGACGCTGGGCAGCTGTATATAGGTGTTGGTGGCTCATAACAAGCTGCAAGAAAATACTTCGCATGACTCATATAATCATAAAAAACAACCTTGACGTCGCCTAGGAATGGTGATTCATTACAAAAAGTATATTTTAATAAAAATAAAATAAGATTATGGTTGAGACGCAGAATAAACTCCTTTAGCGGTCTCCTTTAACTTGGGTTAGCCTCAAAACCATGTAAGATAATATTTTATCATTTAATAGAATATTATGGTCGCTTGGGGACACGAATTTATCTTCTCGTGTTGAAAATCTGCTACGCTCACTCGTGAGAGATCTTTTCAGCACTCGAAGATAAAATCCGTATCTCTGCGCGCCCATGTAATAGCCTCTATTTATCCATTAACAGAAAAAAAACATATTTCTAAATACCTGCTGACGTAATTGGAGCATCAGTTAAAAGTTTGTACAAAAATGTTCCATTTCTTGCAAATTTTAAGAGAATGGAAGCTTTTGTTTGTATTCGGGCTTTTGCAGGTCTAAAAAAGATAAGAAACACTTCAATCACATTCAATTGCACAATCAATGAATTACCAAATTAGTCAGAAAAGTGGAATCAGTGAAATTTCATGCCCACCTAAACCTTTCAATATGCACACCCAGGAAATCTTCATCTTCACCGTAAAGTTTCAAAATCTGTTAAGAAAATTAATAATAAGTATTACTTAAGAATCTCTGCTCTGCTCTGCTCTGCTCTGCTCTGCTCTGCTCTGCTCTGCTCTCCACCTCTCTCTGCATTTGCCTACCTCGGGTTCGACTCTATGTCGTAATTTCCAATATTTTCTCGAGCTTGGAATTGCGAAGTCGTCATGCCATGGCACAGTAAGAAGCAGCTCGACGAGAAATTGTTTGCCTAAAAAAGAAAATCCCCATTGATTGTAATAACCAAAAAATACTACCCAACATATTCATCTTTCCAAATACTTACATACTAAATTGACATAGTTCGCATTTTTGGCAGTATCATGTTGTCTCACTTCAGTAGGTGGTGGTTGTGTAGGAGAAGGTACATCCTGGAAGGTTTCTGGTCTTACAGTTAGAGCCTGTGCAACCTTTATATTTGTTTGGTAGCTTGTTGGTGACTGAGTAGGTGCCCAATATTCTGGTCTTTTTCTCGGTCTTTTTATTTTTAGGCGGTGATTTTGTTTTATTGATGCGTCGATGAGGTGATCAAGATGGTCTAGCGTTGCATCATTAATTTGATTCTCGCCATTTTCACTTTCTGTAACAAAAACAAATAAATTATTTCAGTTTGAAGTGAATCTCGTTCTAGCAAGAGACTTGAATTTCCACTGAAAGAATCACACCATCAAAGGAGGATCACGTTAATAATAAAATCCCCATTTTAGTTACCAAAGCTAAGAAAAACCTTACCTATTCGATAAACAAAATTAGTATCTGGACCTCCAACGCACATTTTGTCTGAATCTGAACAGATATGCAGCCTATTGTTGAAGCAATTATTTGAGGATTTGTCGATCCCATAAGTTCGTTCACCATTTTTCCCACTCCAGCACTGGCCTGAAAGTTGGACATTTCACAATTAATATG